TATATCCATTTATCTGTCGATGGACATCTATGTTGCTTCCATGTTCTAACTATTGTAAATATTGCTGCAGTGAACATTGGGGCACATGTGTCTTTTTCAGTTTTGGTTTCCTCAGGGTAAATACCTAGTAGTGGGATTGCTGGGTCATATGGTGGTTTTATTCTTAGTTTTTTAAGGAATCTCCATACTGTCTTCCACAATGGCTATATCAATTTACATTCACACCAGCAATGCAAGACGGTTCCCTTTTCTCCACACCTTTTCCAGCATTCATTATTTGTAGACTTTTTGATGATGGCCATTCTGACTGGTGTGAGGTGGTATCTCATTGTAGTTTTGATTTGCGTTTCTAATAATGAGCGTTGTTGAGCATCTTTTCATGTGTTTGTTAGCCATCTGTATGTCTTCTTTGGATTAATCTGTTTAGGTCCTTTTCCCACTTTTTGATTGGGTTGTTTGTTTTTCTGAAGTTGAGTTGTATGAGCTGCTTGTATATTATGGAAATTAATTCTTTGCCAGTTGTTTCATTCACCATTATTTTCTCCCATTCTGAGGGTTGTCTTTTCACCTTGTTTGTAGTTTCCTTTGCTGTGCAAAGGCTTTTACATTTAATTAGATCCCACTTGTTTATTTTTGCTTTTATTTCCATTACTCTAGAAGGTGGGTCATAGAAGATCTTGCTTTGATTTATGTCATTGAGTGTTCTGCCTATGCTTTCCTCTAAGAGTTTTATAGTTTCTGGTCTTGCATCCATTTGAGTTTATTTTTGTGTATGGCATTAAGAAGTGTTCTAATCTCATTCAGAAAAGTCTTATCACTGATAAACCTGTCAGGTTTTTTTTTTTTTTTGTAAAGTTCTAAAATGTGTTTTTGTTGTTTTACTTTTGTCCTCCTTGGTTACATAAATGAAAATTCATATTCATAACATTCATATCGGAGCTATCAGTTCAGTTCAGTCACTTGGTAGTGTCTGACTCTTTGTGACCCCATGGACTGTAGCACAGGCTTCCCTGTCCATCACCAATTCCTGGAGCTTGCTCAAACTCAAACTCATGTCCATTGAGTCACTGATATCATCCAACCATCTCATCCTCTGTCATCCCCTTCTCCTCCTGCCTTCAATTTTGCCCAGCATTAGGGTCTTTTCTAAGGAGTCAGTTCTTCGCATCAGGTGGTCAAAGTATTGGAGCTTCAGCTTCAGCATCAGTCCTTCCAATGAATCAGGATTGACTTCCCTTAGGATTGACTGGTTTGATCTTCTGGCAGTCCAAGGTACTATCAAGAGTCTTCAGCACCACAGTTCAAAAGCATCAATCAATTGGAGCTATACTCATTTTTTTTATATATATACTCATTTTTAATTGCAACTATAGTCTTGCTACAAATACAAGGGTTCAGCAAAAATCAATGAAAGTTTTCTGTTAGAATCAGTTGGCTAAGTGGAATTTGCAATAAACAATATTGTATATTCTATTGTCTATAAATTTTTTGCCACACATCCTTTATGCCAGAAGGGTTTGTAATAAATTTATGTATTAATACATTAAAAGCATTTATTTTTCATGAAGGCTAGTAAACATCTACCAACATACCACTTGATAGTCACCTTATTTTTACTTTATTTTTATTTTTTTGATGGTGCTGGATCTTCATTGCTGCACTCGGGCTTTCTCTAGTTGCGTGTGGGGGCTTCTCATTGCAGTGGCTTCTCTTATTGCACAGCACAGGCTCTAGGTGCACGGGCTTCGGCAGTTGCAGCACTTGGGCCCGGTAGTTGCCTCTCTCGGGCTCTAGAGCATGGGCTCAGAGGTTGTGGCGCACAGGCTTAGTTGCTCTGTGGCATGTGGAATCTTTCTGGATCAGGAATCAAACCCATGTCCCTTGCATTGGCAATCGGATTCTTAACAATTGTATCACCAGGGAAGTCCTGGATGGTCACCTTACACTCCTCAAATTTCCAAACAGATTAAAACACTGCCTTTAAATTCCATTTCATATTTCCATGGCAGGTAATCTTTTTAGTATGAGTCAATTGGTTGCCTTTGGTTTAGTCAGCTGAACTGAGGATGCTGGTCACATAGTATTTAAATCTTCCTCCAAGGCCAGGGAGCCTTTTCTTAGAGAAGAGGGGCGGGCAACAGGCTGAGCAGGCATTCCAAAAAAAATGTCTTCTCTAACATACTCAGTAGACAAACTCACATTTCTTCAAAAATAAGCAAAAGTCACAGATGGAAATGGCTGAGACAAAAAGAGAGTAGGATAAGTTAGAAGAGGAAAGATGGATATCAGAAAATATTGCAGAAAAACTAAAATTTAAGAACAAAATTAAAATCCATTTTGGAGAATGACCTTTAGAAGCCGACCTCTAGTTTTGCTGGAGTTCACATTAAATACATTTTACCATCTCTCTTAAAGAAAGCTGAGTGCCGAAGAATTGATGCTTTTTAACTGTGGTGTTGGACAAAGAGTCTTGAGAGTCCCTTGGACTGCAAGGAGATCCAACCAGTCAATCCTAAAGGAAATCAATCCTGAACATTCATTGGAAGGACTGATGCTGAAGCTAAAGCTCCAATACTTTGGCTACCTGATGTGAAGAGTCAATTCATTGGAAAAGACCCTGATGCTGGGAAAGATTGAAGGCAGGAGGAGAAGGGAACAACAGAGGATGAGATGGTTGGATGGGCATCACTGACTCGATGGACATGAGTTTGAACAAGCTCCCCGATCTGGTGATGGACAGGGAACCCTGTTGTGCTGCAGTCCATGAGGTCACAAAGAGTCAGACACAACTGAGTGACTGAACTGAACTTGCCCCCAAATGACATTTATTTTTATGACATACTTCTGTCCAGTGAGATATAAGCTGAAGTCTTCTGGGAATTACTGGGCCAGTTTTGTTTCCTGATTTAGGTTCCATCTCTTCCTCCCTCTAGCTTCTTCTTTTTTTCTTGTTGAATTATGGGTTGCACGCTCCTTATGAGAATTTAATGCCTGATGATCTGAGGTGGAGCTGAGGCAGTGATGTTAGAATTGGAGAGTGGCTGGAAATACAGATTATCATTAGCAGAAAGGTATGACTGCACAGAGACCATAGTAAATTAATTGCTTTCAGACTCATATTAAAACCCTAACAGTGAGGGGCAAGTGACAATTAAGCTGCATCTGGTGGCAGACTTTATAGTGGCGAGTTTGATGTATTCCAATTCTACAGCTGCATTTGCCGGTTGGATGGCATCACCGACACAATGGACATGGGTTTGGGTGGACTCCAGGAGCTGGTGATGGACAGGGAGGCCTGGCGTGCTACAGTTCATGGGGTCGCAAAGAGTCGGACACAACTGAGCGACTGAACTGAACTGAGCACAGCAGTCAGGGATTTTGAGTTCATGTTTCAGAAAATTTGGATTATTAATGGCTTAAATAAAATAGGAATTTATTTTGCTTACATAATGACATGTCCAGTGATAGGTAGTTGCTAGTCTTGGTCCGGTGTCCTAAGGAACCTAAAGCCCTGATTCTCTTGGTCTTTTCCCTCATGGTCAGAATATTGCTGCTCCAGCACCAGCTATCACACACCTAGATCCCTCACATATGCAGTTCACAGTAGGGTTCATGCTCCTTTGAGAATCTAATGCCACCACTGATCTGACAGAAGGTGAAGCTCAGGTGGTAACACAAGTAGTGGGGAGTGGCTGTAAATACAAATGAAGCTTTGCTCACTCACCAGCCACTCACCTCCTGCTAGGCAGCCCAGTTCCTAACAGGCCACAGGTCATATTGGTTTTGGTCCATGGCCCAGGGCTTGGGACCCCTAACATAGAGGACAAACCAAAAGTCCTCATATTTATTGTAGAGCTGATTGTAATACCAAACAACAATGCCCCAAAATTGAAAGAATATATATAATATAATAATTCAGTAATAATCATGTTGATCAAAAGCTTGGATTACATTATAAATTTTATTTAAGATAAAATAATGTCATTCCTAATTTAATAGAAGATAATAGATTAAAGAAAGTTTTTTATTCTCAAAGCACACTTTATTTTTATTTATTTTTTAAAAAGTTATCTTTAATTTTTAATGGCAGCATAATTGATGTACAATATTATGTATCGGGGTACAATATAGTGAGTTGCAATTTTTGAAGGTTAAATTCCATTTAGAGTTAATATAAAATAGCAGTTATGTCCCCTGTATTGTATCCTCATAGCTTATTTACTTTACACACAGTAGATTGTACCTCTTAATTCTCTACCCTTCTCTTGCCCCTTCCTTCTTCCTTTTCTCCACTGGTAATCACTGCTTTGTTCTCTATATCTGTGAGATATAACTCTATATCTGTTTTTTTTCTGTTATACTCACTATTTTGCTTTATTTTTTAGAGTCCACACATAAGTAATATCATACAGTATTTGTCTTTCACTGTCTGACTTGTGTCACCTGGTATATATAATACCCTCCAAGTCCATTCATGTTGCTGCAAATGGCAAAATTTCATTCCCTTTTTTTATGATTGAGTAGTATTCCATCAAATTGCTGACATCCATTGGATCATAGAAGAAAGCAAGAAAATTCCAGAAAAACATCTACTTCTGTTTCATTGACTATGCTAACGCCTTTGACTGTGTGGCTCACAACAAACTACAGAAAATTCTTAGAGATGGGAATACCAGACTACCTTATCTGCCTCCTAAGAAACCTGTGTATGGCTCAAGAAGCAGCAGTTAGAACTGAACATGGAACAATGGACTGGTTCCAAATTGGGAAAGGAGTATGTCAAGGCTGTATATTGTCACCCTGCTTATTTAACTTATATGCAGAATATGTCATGCAAAATGCCAGGCTGGATGAAGCACAAGCTGGAATCAAGACTGCAGGGAGAAATATCAATAACCTCAGATATGCAGATGACACCACCTTTATGGCAGAAAGTGAAGAAGAACTAAAGAGCCTCTTGATGAAAGTGAAAGAAGAGAGTGAAAAAGTTGGTTTAAAACTCAGCATTCATGGAGAGGGTGTGGAGAAAAGGGAACCCTCTTACACTGTTGGTGGGAATGCAAATTAGTACAGCCACTATGGAAAACAGTGTGGAGATTTCTTAAAAAGCTGGAAATAGAACTGCCATATGACCCAGCAATCCCACTTCTGGGCATACACACCGAGGAAACCAGATCTGAAAGAGACACGTGTACCCCAATGTTCATCGCAGCACTGTTTATAATAGCCAGGACATGGAAGCAACCTAGATGCCCATCAGCAGACGAATGGATGAGGAAGCTGTGGTACATATACACCATGGAATATTACTCAGCCATTAAAAAGAATTCATTTGAATCAGTTCTAATGAGATGGATGAAACTGGAGCCCATTATACAGAGCGAAGTAAGCCAGAAAGATAAAGACCATTACAGTATACTAACACATATATATGGAATTTAGAAAGATGGTAACGATAACCCTATGTGCAAAACAGAAAAAGAGACTCCTGTGTATAGAACAGACTTGTGGACTCTGGGAGAAGGCGAGGGTGGGATGTTTCAAGAGAACAGCATCGAAACACGTATATTATCTAGGGTGAAACAGTTCACCAGCCCAGGTTGGGTGCATGAGACAAGTGCTCGGGCCTGGTGCACTGGGAAGACCCAGAGGGATTGGGTGGAGAGGGAGGTGGGAGGGGGGACCGGGATGGGGAATACATGTAAAAAAAAAAAAAAAAAGATACACTATGGTTGTGATAAAAAATAAATTAAAAAAAAATAAAATTAAAAAAAAAATAAATAAAACTCAGCATTCAGAAAATTAAGATCATGGTATCCAGTCCCAACACTTCATGGCAAATAGATGGGGAAACAATGGAAACAGTGACAGACTTTATTTTCTTGGGCTCCAAAATCACTGCAGATGGTGACTGCAGCCGTGAAATTAAAAGATGCTTGCTCCTTGGAAGAAAAGTTATGACCAACCTAGGCAGCATATTAAAAAGCAGAGACATTACTTTGCCGACAAAGGTCTACATAGTCAAATCTATGGTTTTCCCAGTAGTGATGTATGGATGTGAGAGTTGGACCATAAAGAAGGCTGAGCACAGAAGAACTGATGCTTTTGAAATTGGTGTTGGAGAAGACTCTTGAGAGTCCCTTGGACTGCAAGGAGATCCAACCAGTCCATCCTGAAGGAGATGAGTCCTGGGTGTTCATTGGAAGGACTGATGCTGAAGCTGAAGCTCCAATACTTTGGCCACCTGATGTGAAGAGCCAACTTGTTAGAAAAGATCCTGATGCTTGGAAAGATTGAAGGCGGGAGGAGAAGGGGATAACAAAGGATGAGGTGGTTGGATGGCATCACTGACTCGATGGACATGAGTTTGAGTAAACTCCGGGAGTTGGTGATGGACAGGGAGGCTATGGGGCCATGCTGCAGTTTATGGGGCCACAAAGAGTCGGACATGACTAAGTGACTGAACAACGAAACTGATACACATACCAATTCCATATATGTGAAGTTCTTCAGGTTTTTCCCTAAAGACAATTATATTATCTGCAGATAATGATAGAGGTTCTTTGTTTTTTTTTTTGTTTTGTTTTCTTTCCAATGATTTCACTTTTCTTCTTCTTTTTTTAAAAAAATCTTTCTTTACTGTGAACAATGTGCTGACAGAGGCTATTCTTATTTGTATCTTTAAAGGAAAAACTTTTAATTTTTCACCACTGAGAATGAAGTGTTTTTCTTTTGGTTTGGGGTTTTTTCACTTGTTTGTTTTGCTTATAATAAAATGCTTAACAATGAAAGACAGGTTAAAGTAATTAAGTAATTCTCTTCTGTTTCTAGTGTGCTGAGTGCAGCCCCTTCCATATCTTACAGCTTCAGGGTGCCTAGGCCCACATTCAAATACCAGAATCAGCCTCTTTTGGTTTGAGGCCTCCCCAACCCCCCAAAAAACTTAGGAAGGCTGCTCTGCCCCAGTGAAGAGAAGCCTGGAATTTCTGGGGAATCACAGGTCCAGCATCAGCACTCAAGCAATGACTTTCTCTTAGGAACTGGACTATAAATCCCCTTGTTCCCTCATCCCTCTGATAGGATTATTGTGAGGGTCTGCAGACTGTTTTCATAAAATGGTTGTTGAATTTATTATTTGTGTTTTTTTTTTCTGAATCTATTGAGATGATTTTTTGCTTTTCAGTCTGTAGCTGGGTAAATTAATATTGGTATTTTCTAGTGGCTAAATGGCATCCTTTTCTTCTTGGGATAAACACTCCTTGGGAACATTTGTTTTCTACGGTTGCTGCATTTAGTTAGCTGTGCGTACGTGCTCAATCATTCAGTCATTTCCAACTCTTTGTGACCCCAAGGACTGTAGCCCGCCAAGGTCCTCCTCTGTCCATGGGATTTTCCCAGGCAAGAATATTGGAGTTGGTTGCCACTTCCTACTCCTGGGGCTCTTCCTGACCCAGGGGTTGAATCTGCATCTTCTGCATTGGCAGGCGGACTCTTTACCTTTGTACCACCTGGGAAGCCCCATTTGGTTAGCTAGTGGTTTACTTATACTTGTTATATCTGTAAAGTGAAACTGAACTATCAGTTTCTTTCACTATCCTTTCTGATTTGGTGTGAATGTTACACTAGCAGTGGTTAGTGACCTGTTTTTGTTCGATCACTAAGTTGTCTCTGACTCTTTGAGACCCCATGGACTGCAGTAGGCCAGACTTCCCCATCCTTCACCATCTTCCAGAGTTTGTTCGAACTCATGTGCACTGAGTCAGTGATGCTACTCAACCATCTCATCCTCTGTTGCCCCCTTCTCTTCTTGCCCTCAATCTTTCCCAGCATCAGGGTCTTTTCCAGTGAGTGATGGAGACCTAGAGGCCAAGTCAAGGAGGTAGAACTTCATCCCATAGTTACTTGGGTTTCCCACCTTTTGCCAAATGTACCATTTTGGAGAGAACAGTAGGAGAGGGGTGAAAGACAAAGACTTTTTCTTAGCACTTTAAAGCCTTGTTTTAACATAACTTGGGGTGAAGGAGCGATAAGGATAAAGAGAGATGGAGAGGCTGGATCAATAGAGGCAGTGCCCTTAGAGTAGCTAAGTCTGTGGTGTGACCAGAGTGAGAAAAGCCTGCAGTCAAGTGGGGGAATTTGACCTGGGTGTTGGGAGGAAAGGGTGTGAATGAAGCCTTGGGAAAAGAAGGCACTAGGGGTTCAGGAAATCAAGTGCTTTGCAGCTGTGTGACCTTGGGCAAGTTACTTAACTCCCAAAGCCTTGGAATACCAGAATAAGGTCTCTGACTTTCAACTGAGTTCCATGCAATTTGAAATTTCTGTGGCTAGGTCACAGGGATCTGAGGATCAATGGGGTGGGTGGAAACTCCAGAGGTGTATTTCCCAAGGTCCCATCTTCAACCTCAATAGCAACCATATTCTGTCTCATTTGTGCAGCAGGGACCTGAGCAATAGCATTGCTTAGGAAGCCAAAAGATTCTGCAGTATGAAAAATTAAAATAGTAAAGAGTAACTGCCACAGCTGATTCATGTCAATGTATGGCAAAAACCACCACAACATTGTAATTAGCCTCCAATTAAAATAAATAAATACCACCACCCGCCACCCCCCCCCCCAAAGAAAAAGAGTAACTGCCATGGATATTCAACAACCACTGGGATTTTTAAAACAGTGAAACACAGCATTCTAGAAAAATTAGTGCACAATGATGTGCAAAATGGATTAGAGAGGGGAGAAATTAGAACCTTCATTCTCAAGGAATGGTCTGTGGACCAGGAATATCAGAATCACCTGGGAGCATGTAAGAAAGGCAGGATCTTGAGCCCTGACTCAGAACTGCTGATTCAGAATCTACATTGACTTTAGATGATTTAGAAATACTTCAAGCCTTTGTTAATGAGGGGCCAAACCAGGGACTTCAGATTTAGTGAACTGCTGGGACCAGGAAGGTCTAATAAATGAATGATGAGCTCACTGTGTGGGACTGATGAATGGCAGAGAGATGCCACGCCTTACCCCCAGCAGGGAAGGACCCTTAGATCCAGACCCGAAGGTTGTGGTCATACCACAGCAGAGGGATCAACAGGACTTTTGGTTTTTCATGAGGAGCATGAAATCCTGATTCCAATGTTTAATCTTCTGACTTTTTAACCTTGACAATCAATTTTTTAAACTGTCCCTAATTTTGAGGAAAAGAAAACTGAAAAGAGAATAATAAAGTTGCTTTCTTCTAACCTGGGGGTGAGTGGAGGCAGGAATTGGGAGAAGGAAGGAAGAAGGGAAGGAAGAATGGGTTAGGGCCTCCTCCCAGGTTCCGAGAGGGCTGTGTGTGGAAATCATGCTAATAGGAAAGGGCTGAAGGAGAGCAGGCCAACCTTGGGGAAACACAGCTGGTCCCGTTTCTGGCATGATGACTGACTTGCAGACTGTTTGGTTCCAGAGTCCAGCTCTTCCCAATGTCCATAGATGGGGATACTATCTTGCCCTCAACAAAAGAATGAGGAACGTTTGGTATAGTGATACAAGTTTATGTTAAGCAAATCAAGCAGGGTATGAAACGGTGTATGTGGTATACTATGATCTTAGTTCCCCAACTCGAGCCTGAAAACCAGGCTTAGCAATGAAAGTGCTGAGTCTTACTACTGGACCACCAGGGAATTCCCAATCATCCCTTCCTTTATGTCAAGTGGAGTCTCCAGGAGTCCTATTTAAAAAGTAACTGCTCTCCCTGAATAGCTAACACAATGCAAGAGACCTGGGTTCAATCCCTGGGTAGGGAAGATCCCCTGGAGAAGGAAATGGCAACCCACTCCTGTTTTTTCCTTCTCAGCGCACAACGTCTGAGACACAAGGGAAGCACCCCGCCCCACCCCACCCCACTGATGGATGAATGGATTGAAAAAATTATAAGTTTTATCAAAATTTTTAAAAAAGTTGTTTCCCCGAATCATCAATAATGGGACAAAACAACCATGATTCCAGATGTTGTGCACTGAGAAGGATACAACATCACATTTGACTCTTGCCAAAAATGTTTAACCCAAATATAATCATGAGGGAATAGAAGCAAACCCAAATTAAGGGACATTCTGCAAAATAAGTGCTCCAAACTCTTCAAACATATACATCATGAAAGACAAAAATTAAAAAAAAAAAAAGCAAAGAAACTCCTGCAGATTAAAATATTAAAGAGGTGTGACAGCTAAATGCAACATACAACATGTGATCCTTAATTGGATTTAAGATCTAAAAGAAAAATAAATATAAAGGACATTTTTAGGACAAATAAGGAAATTTTAA